CTCGATTTTTTATATTCATAATAAGTGTAGCAATCACTTCATGAAAGGCATTACCCTCTCTGTTGACAAAAATATTTCTGAATGTATGTTTTTATTGAAGAATCGAATTTATTTCAGAATAACACATCAACGTGTGCAGTATCAGTCAGAGTCATCTCAAAAACAACATTCAAAACCATCGCAGCAACCTTTCCAGAACGAATTTAAAATCTCAACAGTTTCCATTTTTTTCAGTCTATAGTTGCACATTATGAGGCTATAATTCATCGATATTCCGGGATTTGGTGGACAGGCTGCGCCTATTCAATATATACACAACCGTAGAATCCGTCAAAAACAGTTCACTTCCGGTTTTCACTTCCAGTCGTCCGATTCCGATGATTTTGACATCAATGGATTTGTTCAGATGTCAAAAAACATAGTCAATCAATTAACGAAGCCAAAAGGACCTCATAACCTATTTCTCTATACTAGTCGCAACAGGTTGATGTGGGTACTCATTTCAAATGATTTAATTTGTAGACTATATAAAATATGATATCGAGCGCCTAATGTGAAACAGCATAGGAGGAATTGAAAAGAAAATCATTGAAAAAAGTTTGAATCGTCACGTACATCATGTCAAATCGAAGAAGAATAAATTGCAGAATCCATCGACAACGAAAAAACAAATATGGTGCAACATGTCAGAAGGACACTAACCCACATCTTCATTAATGATTATTGAATCTCAACATGCAGTACATCAAATGAAAGGGAAAAAAATGCAGGATTCATCGACAGAGAAAAAACAAATCTGGCGCAACATGCCAGAAGGGCACAAAACAACATTTTCGTTAATAATTGTCGAATCGTCACGTACATCACGTCAAATGAAAGGAGAAGAAATGCAAAATTCATCGACAGAGAAAAAAGGAAGATGGCGCAGTATGTCAGAGACACTAAGCAACATATTTGTTAATGATAGTTGGATCTCAACGTGCAGCACATCAGATGATAGGAAAACGAATGCAGAATTCATCGACAGAGAAAAAAATCGGAGAGGATGCCAAGAGGGCATAAAGTTGTATCTTCAATAATAATAGTCGCATCATCACAGGTAGCACTTCAAATAAAAGGGAAAAAAAGCAGAATGCATGTGTTTGTTGCGCTATTCAAATCCAAGGTGACACGGATCAATGTTAACGCTGAATAGGCATCTAACAAAGATCCTTTGATTTTCTTTTGTTTCATTGCAGAATATGTCATCACTAATTTTTATATTCATACCAAAGGTGACATTGATCACTGCCAATGTTGAATCTGCATCCGAAGATATGCAGTTCTCAAAGCGACGAAACAAAGGCTCTCTGTTTCATTTTAAAATATGTCATCACTTATTTTACAATAAATACGTCATGCATGGCGAAATGAGTTAGTTGCATCCGTTGAAAGTGATACCAGTGACAAGTGCACCGATTCTATTTGAAAGTAAGTGTTTTGAGTTTGAATTTTTCCTCAGATGAATTTATTCAAATGGAATTCAATTGAAAGTTGGTGAGAATTGTTTAATCATTTGATTTCCGAAATTTTTCTCGATATATATATATGTTGGATGATTTCAGTGAAATGTTTCACATGTCGTGGTTTGTTAAAGATAGTATTCGCATATATTGTGAATCAAAACATAAAGCGTTCATTTTTTATTTTTCGCAGTTGGATTTACAGAAGTTGAATGCAAGTTCGGTCGTGAAGAGAAAGCCAAGTATCAAAGTAGCAGATTTGCCTGTGGAGATGCCGCAGAGGATATTCATTGCCAAAATCGTGAGAGTAAAATTTGGTGAGGCGGTCTTGTTAGATTTGGGAGATAAAGTATCATTTCTGCCCCACCGAGTGACGGGAGGCGTATCGCCCTCACTTAAAATAATTTTCTTCAGGAAAATACGCTATTGTGTTCAAAGGGTTGATGGATATTGGGAAACCAAATTTTGTCGTTTCATTTGAGATTGTACGAAATTAAGGTTAGTATTGTTTCCAATTTTTTATTTGTTTTATAGGCAAAGAGTTTTTGGTTGTATACAATATTTTTCATTCTTCTCAGAAATTCCCATTCACAGATATAATCCACTTTCCATACAATATTTTTCCTTCACTTACGTACGTGCAGAATATGTATTTTAAATTCGTTATTTTGAATGACACTCGATTTTTTATATTCATAATAAGTGTAGCAATTACTTCATGAAATACATTACCCTCTCTGTTGACAAAAATATTTTTGAATGTATGTTTTTATTGAAGAATCGAATTTATTTCAGAATAATACATCAACGTGTGCAGTATCAGTCAGAGTCATCTCAACAACAACATTCAAAACTGAATTTAAAATCTCAGCAGTTTCCATTTTTTTCAGTCTATAGTTGCACATTATGAGGCTAGAATTCATCGATATTCCGGGATTTGGTGGACAGACTGCGCCTATTCAATATATACACAACCGTTGTGAATTTGGAACACTTTGAAGATTCATGGTGGTGTGTTCCAAAATTCAATAAAACACGCTGTTTTATGTGGATCATTCCAAAGGAAATTCGTTCAGATGCAGTCTCAATAACGTTGATATTTTTTATAAATGTCTTTATAATATACTACCAAAATACACAACCGTTGTGAATTTGGAACACTTTGAAGATTCATGGTGATGTGTTCCAAAATTCATGAAAACACGCTGTTTTATGTGGATCATTCCAAAGGAAATTCGTTCAGATGCAGTCTCAATAACGTTGATATTTTCTATAAATGTCTTCATGATATACTACCAAAATAAATAAAATGTATCTCACACACACCTTTGTTTGACAATTGAAACTTATACAGGGAAAAATGTCAAATATATGCAATAACGAAAAATGATATACGAGGGTTTAGAGTGATGAATAAATATCATATTGAAAGATACAAGGATAACAATAACAGAATATTTTAGAAATGAAGAAAATAAGTTTGTCTGTCCGGTAAAATTCTGATTCGTTGGGTAATTTTAACAGAAGCTGTATTTTATATTTTGAATTTTATTCGAGACATTATTATAGATGACTGATATTAGACATCTAATTTCAATTATATTTGGAAATTCATTTCGTATTGTGGTTTTTTCGGAATTCCCATTCAAAATAGCATCCTTTGATATATATACCGAACGAGTCTATTATGTGTAGATAACCTGAGTTTCATTTGTATGACAAATCAATGTCATTAGGTATGGTGACGAGTCCATTATAACAGGGAGTGAGACGAGTCTTTGTACATATAAACATAACAAAGTAACGATACAGAAAAATATGAAAAATTGTCATAAAATAATTCAAATACATTCAAGTGAATACACGAATCAAAATATGTTTCAACCTCAACTTCGACATTCTGAAAGAAAAAACACTCAGTTTTCACAATTCCATCTTTCGTTATTCCAAGTTCATAGTTATCAAAATTGATACGATTATAAAAGTAGAAAGCAAATTTTTGGACTTGCAGCTTTTTTCTGATAACAGAATAAGAAAAATATTTTCTGTCCCTTCCAAATATTGCATGCAGGCCACGAATATGGTAAAATATCGAGTGATTACTAAAGTGAAAGAAGATTCCACCAATTCCTTGAACACAAAGTAATAATATTACCAAATTTCAGTTATATCAACTATGAAATAAAAATGTCAATAACTAATAAAACAACCACAACATCATGAGATGCGTGGTCATTGGGTCCAAGAACGACGTACCTTAAGAGAAGTAATAAGCCTCCTGCATTTATCTTGCCAAGTTTTATACTAAAATTCTACGATAAATGTTGTTGATGGTAAAAGAATACTACATCAAACTTCAGCTTTTATATAGCTAACGATTCGGAATGAATAGATACAATTTATTCAGCACTTCTCATTTTGCATAAAGAAATCCACTGAGTGCCAGAGATGGTACTCAAAGTACTCGTACATATAGTACTGGCACATGAACCTTAGACGCCTCTAAACCCATCTAGCGACTACAATATTGCATCACCCTAGAAGACCCAGATGAATGACTCAGTTTTCAACTTCAGACCTCTCGACTTGAGAAAGAAGAAAGTTAGTTGCTTTATTAACTCGAGGTTTCCTGGTATCATTTTAGAGTTAGCTTGATTGGAGTTTCAATTTCAATCAATTTCAATTTGTTTATTTGAAAAATTCACAAATCTGTGTAGTCTTCATTATACTTTGCCCCTGATTCGACTCTCTGCCTTTGCAATATCTTGGATTGTTCATGACAGGTAAGTAGAGAAATGATCTCGCCTAGGAATTTTCCAGTTAAGTAGGTAGGTTTCGATGGGATGATCATTAATTCATTAGAAAGACAGAAAGACTGAATTTCCTTCAATAGTTGTTGAAGGAAATTTCAGGTTCTGGCTCATTCTTGAGTGGCCTCTGGAGTGAAGTAGTCTCAGTGGATTCGGTGTGGGCCCTTTGCTGAACGAAAATCAAATCGGTTACAGAGTTGTGGTTATTTCGTTCAGGTTGAAAACCATCCTGAGTCAAGATCATTGATCGCTTGATCAGCTGCCTTGAAAATATACTTCAATTCCTGATCTCTAATTGTTGAAGACCGTGCAGAGAGATATATTTTTATTTCTGATGTAGAAAATAGGTATACGAATAGGTGAGAATATATCTACTCTCCAGTTGACAAATAAAATTCCTAGTCTAGATGTAAGGTTAACCAAGTTGGAGTGTAGTACTTTTCAGACACTTCACGCCATCTTTTGATGAGAGCATCATAGAGTATAATTATTCGAGGCACTTATTACTTGCCGAGGGTTTTCCAGATTGCGAAACTCATGGAAGGAAATTTGAATACAGAATTCAGTAACGAAGAATATTATTAGAAAATACCAGTTTGTCAAAGAATTTTTAATTGGGCGTGTCTTTCAATTATTTCTTCTACTTGTAGTTCACGAGATTTTCATGATTTGTTTTAGATTCAAAATGCTAAATTATACTACTACGTTTACTACTAATGTGCTCACCTTTCTCGGAATCACAAGAGTCGGAGGAAGTGCCCATTTTAATGGATAATTTATTGACAGTAGAAACATTCGAGTAGAGAGCTGGTTCCGTTTCTACAACAATGTCAGTACTTTTTATATCACACTTCGTTGAGTTATCTACATTTCGTGAGGAATTGTCCGTTTGCTGGTGGTTAGTGCTACCGCCACTTTTACCGCTGGTAGAACATTCACCATCGTTGGCTGGCTGAATATTTTTCACTACGTTTTCTTTAGTTTTTTTTCTGGGGCAAGCACACGCACTGTGTTTACATTTCACACAAGGTTTCCCAAACAACTTTTCACTAGCACTTAGATTAGCCAAATATTCGTTTTGCTTCTGTATCTCCGCGCTCAACTTTGAAAGGTCCTCCAACTCCTCGCTTAAACGACTTATATATGGATCTTCAAAGTTCTCTAAGGAGTTGGATGACTTAGTTTTAACTTGATACTGATCAATTTCCTGCAACAGTTTCTCACTGAGTTTGTCTGCAAAGTCCGTCAAATGCTTCTGACAATCTTCATCCCAGCTGGTTTCAGAATCATCTCCCAATAAAGGAGCAGTATCCGAGGAATATTTTCGTTGTAAAATGGTAAATACCTCTCCGGATTGCAGTCTCTTCTTCGTTCTCGGACTCGATTTGATAACTTTATCTACGGCGTCGTCTAAAGTTTGTGCTACATCTGCAGCTGCTTCCAATAAAGTCATGTTGGTTTCACGTTTTTCTTTCATTGGAGGAAATTTAAATCGAAGGTTTGCCGGTGAGTTTCTGTCACTACTAATACTAATAACACTATCTACTGAGTCTGGTGAGGATACACAACTGGAATCGCTATCCTTATCGTCAGTTTCCGGATTGAACAGTTCGAGAGTCAAGAGTTTCGGTAATGGTTTGGCAATAGCTTCCACTTTACCGTTGGAAACAGAAGATTGTCGCACTATGGGAAAACTTGATCTGCTATTGCGTATTCCGAAACCTGGCTTCTGTTTTAACAGTTCTTTAATTTTTTTCAGTCGTTCGTTTCTTGAGTCAGTGGGTTCAGGCGATTTCTCGGGGCTGGGAGGAGATGAAGAGGCCTTCTTAGCTGGAGTATTCAAACTAGTTTTTTGGAATACAGGAATTTGTTGTACTGAATATTTTTGAGCCAGAGTTTTGCTGGGCTCTTTAATTGAAACTTCCGTGACTACGATGTGATCTCGTTCCAACTTCTCTACCAATGACTCTGTTGAAGGTTTCGGAGAGCTCAGCTGTTTGGTCAAAGGATGGATTGCTAAGGGCATTTGTTTGATACGAGGACTAGTCGGACAAGAGGACTGCTTGATTCGGGGAGAATTGGGGACTGAAGTATTTTTCAAACGGGGTGACGTTGGACCCGGGGATAGTGTTAGCGGAGACATCGGATCCGATTTTGGAACGAAAATAACCGAAGCGAACGAATCTTCTGAGTCTACGCTTGTATCGCTTTGTAAACTGCTGTCTTTTGATGAGTCCGAACCGTCCTCTTTAGAAGACCTCCTTTCGGATGTACCTTCACATTCTTTCTTTTCCTCGTTGCTAGGTGCAGGAGTTTTGATGTTTTCCACCGGTTCGTCTTCAGGGATGGATGGAGAAATGAGGTCGGAACTCTTCCAGTTTTGGAACATTCGAACAAAACCTGAAACGAAACATTCACTTTTCACAATAGAGTAAAAACTTCAGAAAACAAAACATATTGTTGCAAAACGTGAAAGTATGGACCAATAATTGTTTCATCTTTATAATTCGTTAATATTCTAGATATTTATATTAGGTTATGTCAAGAGTTTTGTTCGTTTTTATGAGTCTACTTTGAACTGTAATTTGTCAGTGAATTGTCATTCAATTCAATTGAAATAAGCGCTATTTGAGTGCATAGACAGAACTTCGACGTACAATTCGTTTAACTTTCGGACGGTGATCTGTGAAACGTGCGAACGGGCGTTGTCGTAGAGCAGGATCGGACCTCTTCTATTGACCATTGTCGGCTGCTGCTGACGCAATTTTCGTTACATGTTAGATTTCCTGACAATAGGACTCTGCTTTGATGTTTTGGCCTGAATAGTTCTGATGAATAACACCAGCCGCTGACCACCATACAGTAACCATGGTCTTTTTTGGTAGGTTTTCGTCTTTGGGAAGTGCCTGAGTGGCTCATCGGTGTCCAACCATTGTCTGGAATGTCTCCTGTTGTCGCAAAGGACCCACTTTTCATCACATGTGACGATCCGATCCAAAAAAGGATCGTTTTGGTTGCGTAAAAGCAAAGAAGAACAGACCTCGATACGTGACAATTTCTGTCGGTCGTTCAAATCGTGGGGCACCCACTTTTCGGGATTTCTGACCTTTCCAATATGTTTTAAAATATCAACAACCGCATGGGAATGCGGTCCACGCGCCGTTTGTGATGGGTCAATCTCCACCAGGGTCCTGAAATCCTCGTCCTGGTCGATCATTTCGGGGCTCATCTTCGAGGCTAACATCTGACAAACGTAATTTTGCAAACCAACTTCAAACAACGTGTTTATTAACTCTAACATTGTCAACTGTCTGGTCGATTTTTCGAAATGTTTCGGCAGCTCATTGGTTCAAATTGAATTTTTAGAGAAATCTTCGTCTTGGTCTATTACTTCGGGGCTCATCTTCGAGGTTGGAATCTGAGAAACGAAATTTCGCAAACCAACAGTGAGTTCATTAACTCTAACATTGTCAAATATCTGATTAATTTTTCTTGTTTTTTCGGCAACTCATTGGTTCAATTTGAATTTTTAGAGAAAAATTGACCGAAAATCGCTCAACGACATCATATAGCAATGAGCTGGAAAGAGGCAAAACATTAAAATATGTAGAAAAATTAATAGCATCAATGTATAGACTACAAATTTCTTTGTCAGAATACATCAGAATACATCAGAATACACCAGAATACACCAGAATATTTATTGAGATATGGAGCTATAATGATATTAAAACAAACAAAACTTTTGAAACAACCTAATAATAATGTTATCGGTACTTCGATTTTCTAATATGATTTATATTCTGGTCAATTTATATAATTTCGAAGGTGAAAACTAAAATGTTTTAGTGATGGTACAGATATTTATCGATAGGATTTTTTCCGTATGTAACCGAACTTTCGAACTTATTACAATTAATGTTTTGTGTAAACTTGGTTAGAATATATCGACGTTACTCGTGCAAAGCCGTGGAGGGTTGATGATGTTCGAATATATAATATACTGTTTCATGTATCGTTTCGGAGAATTTCCAAAATACGTCTGAATGGACTTTTAGATATACGGTGTAGTCATTTATGGGATTTTTTTTTAAATATTTGCACAACCAAAATACAGATAGTGCCGAAAGTTGGTGTATGTTCGGTAATTATTTTAGGTGCACTTAGAATGGTTGCAAGTCAAACAGCATACAGGGTAGGTCAAAAAATATGAAAGTTGCTCAAGTATCCTTATTTCAGGAACTTGAGAAAGATGATATTGAGAAATATTGTTTATAGTTGAAAGTTATACCAAAATATAAAAAATTGACCTCATAAGGCATTTTTAATTTTTTAAATTGTTTTCATTAGTTTTTTCCAGTTTGTAAGCTTTTCACCTTGAACACTTTCATAAGTTAATCATAATAAAATCAGTTTAGAATAACTTTCTTCAAATTCATGCACATTTGTGCAATTAACTTGGATTCAAATTTTTTCAGGGAATCACAAACTTAATGTTTGTGGCACCGATATTTAACACAACTTCAAAATTTCGCAAACCATATTTTTAACAAGGTAAAACATTAGTAATGGTAATATGTATATTCAAAAACTCTCATTTGAAGTGAACATTTTGTATTTGAAATAGTCTTGAGAAAGCTATATTATTATTATATAATTAATCGAAAAACATGATATACCCAAGGAACAAAACAAATAAGATTTTAAAGTTAACATTATTATTATTATTGATAAATATCAACAAAACAATAAAAAAGGAATAATACAATGTTTTCAATTGTATTCGAAAGCGGTGTCGATAATTTGACAATTTTTATCAACTTATTTTTATTATAACTCAACCGATCATAAAATTCACAAAGAGTAGATCGCAACACATTTGCTGGAATATTTCTGCGATGAAATCTTATCGACTTTACAAGCTCCTCAGCAGTATTGAATGGTCGATTCTTGTGAACCTTTTGCTTTTAATATCTCCATAAAAAATCTAATAGGGTAAAATCTGGCGAACGAGGAGGCTACCATGTATCAGTATTTCGTCCTAACCATTTATCACCAAATTTCCCATTTAACCAATCTGAAACAATTCTAGTAAAATAAGCAGGACATCCATCATGTACAAACCGTAATTTATGTCATTCTTGAAAGCTCATATTGTCCAAAAAATCCGTTAGTTCGTTTTCCAAAAACTGTACGTAGGTTTCACACCGCACCATACATTTGTTTTTTTTGATAATATTGGTTTTTATTGTCAGTGACAAAATTTGGATTTTTGTCCGACCCCACCTACAATTTTGGGAAGAGACAACGCCATTTGTTGTGAACACGGATTCGTCTCCAAAAATAATGTGCGTATGGAAATCATGTTGATCTTCTATTTGTCATTGAATCCACATGCAGAAGGCATACCGTAAGTCATAGTCTCGTTCTTGAAACGTGCAAATAAACATAGGCTTATAGGCATGATATTTATTTTTTCAAGAATATTTTTAACAGAGCTTTATTTTACACCCGTATAACTAGAAATGAAATGATCTTCTAGGGTTTTCAACAACTGCTTGAAGTTCTTCTAATACAGTTTTGGTACGTTCATTTTTATATTTATACTGTAAACACCCAGTCTGTATAAAATTATTTAAAATTCTGCTTACAGTGGAATAGTGCACTTGTTTGTCTGGATGACGTTCATTGAATATATCTGCTGCTTCACGCACTGGTTAATAGTTATCTCCACATATTAAAACTAATTCTGCCTTCTCGGCTAACGTTAACTGTCTTGATGGAGGCATTTGAAATCAAACAAACTGAATAATCGAACAATAATTATTCAAGAATGCGAAGTTGATTCACCAAACTGTCATAATGTTTTCTTTCAACCCTCATTTGTTTGATGCCATGGGTATTCGCAATAGTTTCAATAGGATTTCATGTTTGTCGATTGTTTTAGCTTGTTAAAAAAAGGTTTGCGAAATTTTAAAGTTGAGCTGAATATCGTGGCAACAAACATGACGTTTGTGATTCCCGAAAAAATTTAAAATCCAAGGTAATTTCACAAATATTTTTGAATTTGAATAAAGTTATGCTCAACTAATTTGGTTGTGATTACTTCAAGGAAACGCTGAGGGTGATTATGAAAAAAATACAAATTGAGAAATCATTAAAAAAATTAAAAATTAAAAAATGACTTTGGTGGCCATATTTTGATATTTAGGCATACTTTTCTCAATAACATTATGCTGAATTTTCTTAAATAAGGGTAGAATTTTTATATTCTTTGACATACCCTGTATGCTGGTTGATTTGCAACAATTCTGAGTGTATCTAATATAATTATCGACCAACTTTTGGCAATATTTGAATTTTGGTTGTACAATTAATTTACAGTTAATTTAATAAAATTATATGTTGCACACTTAATGTGACTACACTGTATATTACAATATATTAATAAGAAATCTGATGAGACGAATCTATTGTCGAACTGCTCACCACATACAAAGATTTGACTGAAGTGTTTGAAGGTGACTGACAATGTTTCATAATAAATTTCACTAGTTCGAACTTCCATTGTCTACTATATTAAATGATTTGAAATCCCTGAAACAACTAAAAGAGAAGAATTAAAATAAATAGCTGTAAATAACAATTATATTAAGCAAACCTGAAAAGAAATAATAGTGAAAAAAATACAAGTAAAAATAAAACAATCGAACAAAAAATAAAATAAAGAAATACAAAATGAAAATAAAGATAAAAATAAAAATAAAAAAGTTAAGAGATTTCAAGCTAAGTTAGTTCACATCGCTTCGATTGTTAGTATCCACAATCGTCTTCACACGAAGACTAACATTTTGACTAACTATTTTGACTTACCTACTACTTTTTTTTCCCGTTTCTTACAATTAATAAACTTCATTTCATATTTTAATTTTTGAAACACGAGTTGCGGGCTCTTTAACATGGTTGATTATAAAAAACAGTACGAAAAAGATGGTTGATACTGACGCATGCGCACAAAAAATTGTGATGAAAAGGCCTATTGCATTTTCTCGCATCATATCTAGAACTCATAGAAATTATATTACATAGGCATATAATCAGATGTGTAGAAATGACGTCAAAATAAAAACGAAATGCTAATTTAAATTTTGACATCGATGTTTTTTACCTGATTTCAAAAGTAACTAAATCAATACATTCAAGGCGTAGTTTTATAAGGACAATAATGAAAAATATGAATATTTTTCAATAGAGAGATTCTTACCATTCTTCAAAGAAGATCCTGTAACTCTTTCAATATTGGTAGTAGAATTCTTGAACTTATTAGTGAAGCCAGTTTTTATGAGACGGAAGCGCTTGGAAGTAGACACGTAAAGAACAGAGTCCTTGAAGTTCTCGAAAGCATATGATCTATGGTAAATTAGATCTTCGTTGAGAGACGCCTGTTTCTGAATGTTTCTCCGTAGCCTTTCCTTCTCTTGCAATCTATCAGTCGACATTAATTCCTCATTGAGCGACCTTTGTTTCAGTACTGCACTCCGGTTATATTTCTTCAAAGAGGATTTGAATTCCGGTAAACTTGACTGTTGAGCCATATCAGTAGGTTGGTCTAAAGCCTCGTCCTCGTGTTCCTCGCATATTGATTTTTTCTGCTTCACCAGTTTTGGTTTGGTTAACGAGTTTTTAGGGATGGTAATCACTGGTTGTTCACTTTCCGGTTCCTTGGTTTCCGAGGGTTTATTGGAGATGTCTGTTTTCTTCACGAAAGTGTTGTTATTCTCAACGGTTCTCATGTTTGTCATGCTTTTAGATTTCAAGTAAGATATTTCGTTAATCAATTGTGAAGAAGGAAACGTTTGTCTTCTTTGTGGTAGCTCGTCCTCATCTATTCTTCGCAACTCTATAGGAATATCATAAGCATTTTCTAGACAATCACAGCAGTCGCATCCGGCAGGTGCAAAAACTTTAGGCTCGGGATCTTTTGCGCAGGTGGTCCAACTTTCCAGAAACCAAGGTCGATGGACTCCTGCGCGACGGCCACCGCCTGCTAGCTTTTGTATAGCTCTTCGTACGAAGCTGTAGCATGTTTCGTTCGGGCTGGATAAGCTGGAACTACTTGGTGAAGAGTTTCTTCCTGGGTCGATTGAACGACCTTTTGTGCGACTTTTTGCTTTTTTTCGGGTGATGCCGTTTAGCCTAGAATAAAATTGAATGATGACAAATAACAATCACTCATTTGAAATACCTTAATCAGAGTTCAACATATATTTACGTAAAAAACGACATTTTTTGAGAATGATGGAGAAAATCATGAAGACTTTGTTCAGAATAGGCACTTTTGTTTTGGGGTCAACAGTTCAAATTTCGAAAACAACTTATATATCCAAACGATTCTTCGTCACTTCAACATTTCTTATCCATTACAGGGCTTCCCAGAAATTAGTTACCAAACGATATCTACTTTATTTGTGAAGGTAAAAAAATGAAACACAAGCGATCTTAGAAGACCTTAGAATGCCCTTCAGAGATCGTCTTTGAAATTTGCCATTTTATAGTTATAGTTATAGTTTCTAAGGAACTACTCCCAACTGTCATTGTATAGTACATACAAAGAGGTGATATTTCTCATAATCTGGATGCTCGAAACAGTTTTTCAACCAAATATCTGAAAAATTTTATTGACCTACATAAATTACAGAAAGTTTACATACTCTACAAAGTAAACTCGAACTGTGCTTAATCTGATACCACACAACTTTCATATCTTCTCAAAGTTCCCTAGTGCAGGCCGATGTAATCATAGATAACTCTATATAATAACTTCATAGAAACAATCTAGTGGAATCATATGAGGGAAACAGGCTTGCCAACGCATTAGACCTCTCTTCCTACCGATATCTGAGCATATATATCATTAAGATGTTGATATCGCGATACTGTTGAAACACCAGTGTAAAAATATGGCCCAATGAGGGTTCACTCCAGCAAATTCAATTCAAGATACCTGAACATATACCATAATTCGAAGATACGCGATAAATTCTAGTATTATTTAAAAATATGTCTGAACCAGTCACCAAACGGCGCTTTCACTAACTCCATGTTCCGTTTTGAAATAAATATTTTCTAACGGAAAACATAAATGCAAACATGGAAATTAATTAGAACCTTGAATAACTGTAGGTATGTTACAACAATTTATAAGCTTCAAAAAGTTGGACTTGAGTGCCAGTGGTCTCGATTCAAGTCTCATCTACGGATTTTTGAAAAAAATTTAGCACAATAACTGAATCAGGAAATATTTTTGATTGCTTTTTCTTAAGAATTTTAATTGCATTTCTTTCATTTGGAATATCTATACTAATATCATAAATGTGATTTATGTGATTTGTGATGTGATTTATTTAGTATAGATTCAGATGAAACTTTAGATGAATATAGCTTATACATCAGAATAACATATAGGCTACTTACAATGTACAAAGGTTATGTGTGATTTTGGTCATAATATATGAGTATTGAGTTATTCGGAAAAATTCTTGCCCCCGAGAGCTATTTTGGCGTGCGCTGCCTATACCGTTGGAGTTACATGCAGATGATGTACCATAAGATTGTTTATCTTAAATAGTTCTGAATAAAAGCATAATATGTATCTACCTCTTATGTGGTAGCCACTATATGCAAAATACCGAGCTCTGTTCAAAACAGTGATTTGAGATATTTTCATAGTATCCGTCGCTTCTCAATTTCCTGTATATCAAACCGGTTCCATATTGCTTTCAATGCTTCCTTCACTTTTGGAATGTCACATAAAAAGTCACTCAGAGCTAGATCTGATGAGTGAGGTGAGTATAAAACTATACTTGATAATGAGGTCAAACCCGAAATCGGTCCTATAAATAAAATCTACCAGTGGTATTTGGACAAAAGTATTTTTTATTCATTTCATTTAAGGAATCTGCCCTAAATACAATACTCAACTAAAACTATTTCGAATCCGAAGGAAAAATTTATAAACAAACAGATGGACTAGCGATGGGATCCCCACTATCTAGCATTATATCCGAAATATACCTGCAAACCATAGATGAGAAAATCTTGACAATAATAAAAACACACGATGAAAAAAGAGAATGGTCAGATACGTTGACGATGGCGTGTACATATCACAAAACAGAGGAACAAGAATAGAACAAACAACAAAGGAAAATAACTGAACTGAACTGAACTGAATAAAAAAATTCAGCATAGAGCAAGAAAACGGCCCGAAACTGAACTACCTCAGAAGTTAGAATTCACTTATCGAAGAACAAATACAAATCAAAATACAATAAGACCATTCAATATACTACACAATACAATACACATTCCTAGAAATAATGAACCTAGAGGAGCTCCAACACAAAGGATATTACCTGATGTAACCCAAATACAGGTAAATTTAAAGAGACATGCGGTTGATAGGCGGGGACAAATACCTTCACCAAGGTGTTCTAACCGTATGAAGGAACAAACAAGACGATAAAACATTCAGTTTGAGTAGAGCCATGAAGATGATAGCATAGCCTGCTATCGAAAGCGCTCGCATGTAATAAGTAGAAGTTATTAAAGCCTCAAATCCTTTTTGTAAACATATGTTAATATTAAAATACTGATAGTGATTCTTCATTTTATGTCTTCTATAGATGTTGAAGGAAATTGGGTAGACAATCAATTTGATATACCCTCATGAAAAAATCCATTTTGGTTAGGTTAGGTGATCTGGGTGTCCACGCCACAAGCCCACCCGTATCTATCCATTTTTTATTGAAATGATCGTTGAGGTATTCCCGTACCTCAGTTTTAAAATGTGGTGGTGCACCGTCTTGTTGTAGCCACATTCTAAGTCTTGTTCCATATGAAACCCCGTCTAATAAATTCGAAAACTCATGCCTAAGAAATCTTACATATTTTCTTCCAGTGCAATGTCCATCCAAAAAATACGAACCGATAACTCTTTTTCTGAGAATTCCACCCCAAACATTTAGTGACCAACGCTGTTGATAGTTCAGCCAATAATGCATGTCAAGCCGATTCACAGTTCCATTTTTATGAAAAGTCGTTCCATCAGAAAATAACACGAAATTGAAAAATCATTTTCCTGATTGATCTTTTCTAATCCTCATCAGCAAAATTGAACACGTTTTTTAAAATTTCTTCCTCTAAACTCTTGCCTCAATTGAATATGGCAAGGATGCAATTTGCTTGCGCGTATCATTCAAGACACGCTGGATTGAGAAAATCCCAATTCCCTGCTCAGGTCTCAGGTAATCACATGGGGATTTTCAACAAGGTGAAGAGCGATTTGAAATGTATTCTCTTCATTTGTTACAGGGCATTACCAGTTCTTTTAAAACTTGTTTTTAGAGCCTGAAATGCCCTTCTATCTGGGTGTCTTCTTTCGAAGAATTTCTCTTTGTAAATCCTAGATGCAAGGAGGCAGTTTCTGCCAATTTCCCCCAAAGTATAGACCATTTGCACCATATCTTCCATTACATAATTCATAATGAAAATGATTCAATCTACACGCGAAAGAAACTTCAACACATGGCGTTATTGACAAGTTCCGAGATAAATTTTTTGATGTCAGTCATGGATAACTGGGTTTTTAAAGAAAAAAGCAGTATAAATATTCTATAGGTTTTATCACGTGTTTTTACCGTTGAAACTGCTGATAACCATCACTAGATGGTATGAAAAATGCGAATGTACTAGCGATTAGTTTGAATATTCGAAAAACAAATTTGAGTAAATGAACGGAAGAAAATATATTTTTTGTGGTTACAACAATTACTAAAACTAGGTGTAATTTGTATAGTTTCGTATAGTATACCTCCGATAAAAAATGTAGTGGAATGTTGAAACATTTCATACAAATGAAAAAATACAAGGTATTCCATTTGAAAAAATTGAATAATAACTATTTGAAAATGATTGAAATTTTATAGGTTTTACCGAGCACCCTATGTAATGTTTACAAAAGTTGAGATTCCTGAAATTATCATAGTGATGTTGACTAACTATTGATAAAAAAATTCACTTAATTGCCGTAGAAATGCGGGTGATGAATTAAAAAAATATTTTCTGCAAAATAGGTTTTTCTGGAATAAGTTGACAATGCCGCAATGGAAATTCGAAAGAAAAAATTCCTTAGAGAGCTAAAAAAATATGGAAACGAATGAATCACCCAATAAGCTAAAAAATAATTTTAAAAGATAGTCTCTTTATCGACATGACTGCAAAAAAACTAGAAGTTCAAAGAATTGTTTCCTCTGATAGCAATGGATCGAGGGAATCTTGTTGACTCACCCTGTACTTATTGTATATTTCACAACCAATAAATATGCAGTCTTGATTCATTAAATGTACAGTACACTTAGCAATTTGAAAGCATTTATCGGTCTTTGATCTTGTATTACACTAATCTTCAATTATGTTAGTATTTGCAAAATGTTTTTATAGATTTCACTGATTTTGTGGAATGTTTGTCTGAGATTGGAAATGAAATATATTTTGAATGAAACTTTTGATGGAAATCTAAAAGGTTTTTCAAAAATNTTAATGTACACTCATGTAATTTCAAATTTCAAGAATGCAAGTCGGTTTTGTTAATACACGTTCCTATGGTAAGGTTCAAATTATTTGATTTTCACAATCTGAATTGGCTTTAGAAGATATTCAGTTCGGGAAAGGCTGACAAGAGAATAACTATTAGTGTCTGGAGTTATTCGCTTCCAAAAATCTGAGTTACCCCACATTTTACCAAAATCAATTTTGATGAACTACACCAAACTGACAGAATAGCCAACCGAGTATCATTCAGCCATAACAAAACCAAGATCCTACACATATATTTATAGAACTGTATTATTTATAACAATCGTCAATGATCAAAGATGACATTGGTTTTTTCATCGTTTTATCGGTTTGAAGGAAATAATCGATATAAATTTTCTACAACCGATTATTTTCCAACTAATCAGTTTCTGACAAGACGGTTTAAATGAAATATTAGAATGCCATTTGTTGTCATATCCCCAATTTTAGTTATGAAATGTTATAAATAGAATAACTCTGGCAGATTATTGAAATTCCAATTATCAATATATTTCATAATGAAAATAATTCTTACCTGATCGATTTGCTCGAGTCACTATCAGACGTCTGTGTATATGCATGGTAGGCCAATTGTCCGTCATCCTCGGAGTTCGTTGTAGTTGAAGTGAGTTCCAAGGATGGGGTACTTATTTGTCGGGGTCTTCTCCATGGAACCAAAACATCTTGTGACTCGAACTTGCGATGACTCTGTTCCATTGCCCATACGGAGATTATGATTCGTCCTCCGATCCTCAGTACTCTCGCTAATTCCCTCAAGGCGCAAATGCGACGATCTGTTGTCGCTAAATGGTGAACAACTGCTATGGAGACTACAGCGTCGAGACTCTCGTCTCGGAAAGGAAGTGCTAGGTTGTCCAGGACAATAACCTGAAAGAATTACCAGTAGAAGGAATTTCACAATGGCTACAACTATGAATTATGAACATCAGAACATAGTTCAACTCAAAACGAAAATTTTAATACTTCTTCAAAAACTTTTACTGTCTTCTGATAATACTTTGGAAAGAGCTGATTTCTTTTATTAATTGTGAAACCTGACGGATGTTGTTTTAGTACTTTTCAAAGATAATATTTTCATTGAACTATGTACCATGGTAATGCAGAATACTATGACATTTCTATAAAAAATAAGGGGTAGTCGGCATAAAGTGATATGAGATGTGCTGGGATGTACCCAATTTCAATGAAATATAATAATAACAGTATAGGTCCCAGCATAGACCCTTGTTGCAGGTAACGTGAGGTACAGTGTAACCTAGGTACACACTCAACCAAGTTACGTCACGACGTTTCGATTGTTAGTATCCACAATCGTCTTCGGGTGATAACTGGACTTATTCCTCCGAGATCTGACTATTTATAGGCCATTCGAGTGCTTCCATTTATCCCCTCTTCTCTCTCTTTGCTTCATTGGTTTCAGCGGGAGATGACCGTTTGGCGGGAGTTGGTCGTTTTTCGCTTCATTAGAGGTTTCCATATGTTACGTATCTCTACGCTAGATTGACTAAATGCGTTGTTCGATAACATATACGCGGCTTCTTTGAATTTTCTCCTAAACCAGTGTTCCTCTTTGTGGATGATTTCAGTTTGAGCCCACTTGATGTTATGTTGATGAGACCAAACAAGCTCTGCTATTCCGGATTTGCTGATTTCTCCTCGCTATGTATGTTTCTTGTGCTCAGCAATGCGAACTTTCAATCGCCTTTTAGTTTCACCGATGTATGATTCTTCGCACTCGCAGGATATCCGGTAAATGCAATTCTTGGAATCGCAGTCCGCGTTTGGTGGCCTGGTTTTTTGTGAGGCTGCTACGGATCTGAAGCAGGTCTCTCTTCCTTGAGGAGCTCTTGCTGTCTTCTAGCTAAAGCCTGTTCTACCATCACTCTGGAGTAACCATTCCGTTGAAGGTCATTTTTGATAACGTCTAGACCTTCCTTTGTATTACAAAGCCCGAAAGCACAGTCTGGTAGAGTCTTGATGATTCCTCTCTTAGTCGATTGATGGTGGTTGGATTTCTGGTTCCTTGACCTACCGGTTTAATTATGCGTGAGATTTTGTCTACGATTACGTCAGACTTTATTGATGTTAATTCTCTCTTGCTTTCAGTTGAAATTATTTCATTTTCGTGTTTCTGCATTTTGTCTGCTCATATAGCCTTAAAAAGCAATTCTGAGTTCTATTGATGATTTGTACTTCTTCAAGCGCGATAACGTGAGTACCTTTTCTAAGTGCATATTCCGATACTGCTGATTCGTGAGTACACTCCAGGCGACATTTTCTCTCGTGTTCAGAGAGTCGGGTACCTACTCCTCTCTTCGTTGTTCCAATGTAGTCCGATCCGCAGCTAGAAGGATTCAGGTATATTCCTCGTGTTGCTGAAGACCATTCGGGATCTTCAGCTGACCTTTCTGATGGTTCTCGTTGGCCTGAATTTCGTTTTGTTTTTCTACAAAATCATTCAATCCGGTTATTCCCTTCGAAGGCACTTTTAGAACTGTTTATGTACTTTTGATACGGGGCTCTGTGTCACATTCGACTGAACCAAGTACAGTGAAGACTTTGTTGCTTACCCAATTACCACTGATGAGACCTATGGCGGGTATTTACAGCGCTGTCTGATGTTGGATCACGAATGCGTGGTATTTTGTATTTGGGCTCTGGATTCTACTGGCTGCTTTGCACTGACGGCTGCAATGAATGACAAAATTTGAATCGTTTGCCCATCGTTGCCGAAGCTTGACTAATCACTTTGGGGTGTCTCGTTCATCTTTGATATTCAAGGATCAACTTCTGCATCGCCTTTACTTACTCAGGCTTGTCCTTTGAAGATAGTCCAGGAATGCATTTGTGACGAGTCGAAATAGTACTGGCTATTGTTGAGCTCAGATTTCAACTAATCGACTGATCGGATTACAGTGCAATTCAAATTGAGTTGTACCATAATAATCGTGTTTGAATAATTTTGAATATAGAGTAGAAATAGGTTATATTCATTCCAGTTACAAGTTGATTCAATCAATATTTTTGACGCTACATTGTCATTTTTTTGTAATACTGTACCCCACCTTACTTATACTTGACTTCTATTTGTTTAGAAGTATGGAGGTCTGCTCATTGGTTGCTTTGAGAATTTCATTGTATGTTTATTATATTTCCGAAAAGCCGAAGACTCTGAAATATCCAGTGTTGATACTGGTACCTGGGTGAGCAATAACACAGTAGGTATTATAAGTGGTTCTCTACAATATATACTCTTATTTTCTATTCTTTAACTCCCTCTTCAGATTAAAATAATTTGTTTTCGATAGAGACTCATCTGTATTTGATATACAGACTAATTCACGGTGGAGGGCACATTAGACGTTTCTGGTGAACCAGACACCTAATCACTTCGAAAATTCAATGAAGAGCATATTCGGGCATTCTCTATCCAACTAAAATATTTTCGACAATGCGGTGTTTCCGCTTCTATTAGAAAGCAGTAGCAACTTTGATTTTTCAAATGGAACACTCTGTATATAATATTATTTTTGGAATCTACAACAATTACCCGACCTTTTTTTATATCTCCCTATGCCTATCTATTACCGTTTTCGAAATATGAATTAATTTAAATTTTTTTCTTCGGAAATTATGAGCTCTAGAAATGATTAATGATACAAAAATATCATCGGGTGCATATGATACTAATAAATAAAATAAAATGAAATAAAATAAAAATCAAGGAATACTATGGTACCAAAATTTGGTTTTTAGTAAGGTGATACTTGAAAACTTCCCACACTTCAGCGTAATCTCCGTTACTTCAATACAGGTTAGTAAAAAAAGATAGTTTTTTCGTTTGCTTAAAGAAGTGACTGAAATTTGATTTCAAATTCAAAAGGCTGTTGGAATTCGCTTTCTTTCTATGCATATTATGCGTATTCCCAGTCAAGTTTCGGACTCAAGAGCATTTATTTGTGGAAATGTCCCGTCAGAATGGTATTCCCATTCGAAATTTTGTAAGCAGGCGATGATTACTATTTGATAGTACCGTTGTGACACGATTATAAATTCACCAGAATTGAATCAATGAAGCCTCAAGAGCCTTAACAGAGAGTTGAATTTTGTGAAATGTTGTTGATACGCATTCAAGAAGATCCATTTTTTTAAATACAATTTTTTGGACTGATGAATCAACATTTTTGAGAGAAATAATTTTCAATTATTGGTCCAGTGAAAATCCTCGTGTTACAAAAAAAACCAGATTTCAAGAAAAAATCGGTTTTAATATTTCTGCATGTCAATGGACAACAAATTAAGAAATGTCATATACGAGGAATCATTATCATCCAAAAACTGTCAGAATATTTCGAAGAATACTGTAGAGAGCTTCGTCGATAATCTGTCATTCAAAGAATATCGAAAATGTTGATATACACTAAACGGAGCTCCTGCACATTGTACAAGAGAACTGAGCACATAACAGGACAGACTTTTTGACGATCGGCGCTTGGGACCATGGAATTGGCCAGCGAGATCACCCGATCTTGATCCATTAGATTTTTATCTGTGTGGAATGTTTAAAGAAAAAGNAATATCGAAAATGTTGATATCAACAAGACGGAGCTCCTGCACATTGTACAAGAGAACTGAGCACATAACAGGACAGACTTTTTGACGATCGGTGGATAAGGCGTTTGGAACCATGGAATTGGCCAGCGAGATCACCCGATCTCAATCCATTGGATTTTTATCTATGTGGAATGGAACTCTTCGTATGAACATGCGATCGGCGTGTTAGCGAAACGATTTTTCTCTGGAAATTATGACTTGCGATACGTTTTTGATGAGCTCTCGTGCATACGAGAATGGAAATATATTTTTTGTGAGAAGACTATAGCACAGAAAATATAGTCGGAGGAACACTTACCTCGTTTTCTTTTTCTCTAGCCACTTCACTCAAATTATTAGATTTGTCTCCTCCTATATTGAATAATGACGAATTTACGTTGAGGTACTTGCCGTTACCACACCCTAGAAAATAAAAATAAATGCAGTTTCGAGAACAAATGAAATCGATTTAACACATATAGAAAAAATGTAACTGGACCATCATTATTATAACGTGCAGATTGGTTTGAAATTATTGTCTGGACATGGACGGCATTGAATTTAGATGCTTCGATCCATTTGTTTAATCTAAAGTGAATTATGAAGAGGAAATATTTGATTTTTTGTTACCTAGTTTGTGATACCCGCAAAAACTACTAAAGCGATTATTAGAAGCTAGGTTATCAGCAAGTATCATAGGTAGTATATTATTTTAAAAAAAAGATCTCTACAAAAATTGCAGTAGTGTAAGGTAATGCAACGTATCAAAAATGTGCATATAAAAGTAAGACTCTGGCGAGGGCACCGGAGAGGATTCCTAATGTACTACTTGAGCTTGATCTTGAGGTATCGGGCCTAACATATATATGGCGCTAGTCTTATTGCATTCACCACTTTTTCAGTTAGTACAATCTTCAAAAGAAAGATGTTGAAATTTTATGATATTTTACTCATAAGTTTGTGAGTTATTGTGCTAAAAGTGGTGCTACTTTTGTTATTTTACAAAATAATGGATTAAAAACAATTTCGTGTTTTAATTTTACACTGCTTCTTGATGGGAAAAAACCGTGCAAGCGAAGCAATGGCTTGAAAAGTGTTATTAGGACTGCGCTGTAACTCCGCTCCATCAAAAACAACAACTGAATTGGTTTGCTGACTTTAAACGAGGTCGTGAGAGACACCGATGATGCAGACACCAGAAAACAAAAAAATCCACAAAATCGTTTTGAATAATCGAAAAACGAAGTTGCATGAGTTAACTGACATTGTAAGGATATCAAAAGAACGCGTTGGCTTCAGAGTGCATTTCTTTAATGTCCCCCTCTTTTATTTTTTGAACGGGTCAACTCAAAAAATTGAAATTTATTTGGGATGATTAAATTAATGCATGTATACTTTTTTTGAACTGGAATTGACAGAAAAAACCATCAAGATGGCGACTGGTCGCAATTTGGGATAAAATTAAATGAAAAAGGGGTCTTTTGTGACACATCATTTTGAGGCTCCTGACAAATACTTCACAACCCTNGCCTTCTGAGTAAAAAATGGAAAGCATATTCCAAAGAGAAGTTGAAAATATCTTCCATTTCATATATCATCATAAATATAGTAGATATTGAAAATATTGAAAAATAATTCAAAGATCCAATTTCTTCACAAACACCTTGACATACATCGTCATATGAACCATAAATAGCAAGGCAAAACCGGCTACATTTTTTCTGATACAGTGTCGTATCAACTTGTAACTAACGTACCTATATCTATCTAAAGACAAATCAAAAATGCAATTTGCAACCACCATGCACCGCATCGGTGTGTGAGGGCGCTTAAATTTATTTTGTCAGGCAATAGTTTTGATTATGGGATAACTCTTGAGATGTTAATTCAAATTGTACGGTGTAAAGAGCAATTATAACATGCATGACATTCTCAAGATAACATATTTATTTGATAAAAACTAACAGAGGTATGTCTAAATAGCTTTCCGATTACCACACCATGTGACCATTCTTTCAACTATTGATTGGGTATAGTAAACTATCCTTAAAAGATAGACATGTGCCATCCGTGACATCTCTGTAGCCAATAAGAAAAAAATAATATGCAGTGTTTTTGTTTTGTTATATCTCAGATGCAATAGGTAGTGATTTCGATTGAAGTTTCTCGGAATCGCACTGGTAACAACGATGACCCGAATTCGCACGGATGATATCATCATATTTCTATTAATTTACACATCACATCTTATATTATACACGTAAACCTTCCTCTAGAATCATTTCATTCATTGGTAAAAAACGTATGAAAATCTGTTTAACACGTTCAGACAGAAGACAGATAGTCTCAGCGGGGAGGATTTATTTTTTTTGTGTGGCGATGTTATTTTTAAATCACTTTCCTAAGTTTTATGATTCCCTGTTTCAATATATTCAGTACTTTTCGGTAACTTAACATAGGTTTTCAAAAATCTCCTCTTCAAGTTTCATACATCGGGGACACACTTACTTACCAACGTCACACACAAGCGATCCTGGCTCCAAATCATTCAAAAACTCTTCAACCTTTGGCCAAGGTTTACTCCTCGGGTTGTCGTAGAATTGTTCGTAGACGTCGTGAACATACGCTTGCTCTAAAGCTACGCTTCTAGCAACTCTTTCATCTACAGGCATGTCCGAATAACCCTGAAAATAAAACGAACACTTTTGTTTCTGTTTCTACCTTGATATTATTGATAGATGGGAAGCTCCGTCGTGTACCATAAATAATGAGAATACATTATCAACTGATGAAAATATTTTTATTCTTCACTGCTGATCCCTAATCAATAACTGTGTTACTTGCTAATTGGAAATTTAGTAAATCACATTTTTACGTCAAAAGTTTGAGAGTACAGTTCATTTTATTCACGCAATAACAAGATGTCTGTGATATATTAAATTTCAAATCATTACTTGTTATATGTTTTTTTCTCCTTCTCTTTGACTCGGCCGTTACTTGATAACGATCCATAGTAATTGCACAAACTACAATTAACGATTTCACCTTCACAAACTTCATTTTCAAAAATATCACTGTTATTGAAAATGTTATTCAATAGCATATTTTCAATTTTGAATTTCATGATTCTGCCTAGGCAGAGTTCTGCCTAAATAATTTAGGCACAACTCTGTTCAATGCAAAACCCAAACGAGATAGAATGAAAAAATCAGGTATAAATAGAATAGAGTCTGGCGAATGTTCTGCAGTATATACAGGCCAAACCAATAGAAATTTTGACGTAAGGCTCCGTGAACACGTCTGTTTGGATAACTTCAAAATTCTACACATATATGTATGAACGAGAAGAAAATTGATTTGTTGGAAGCCATGGAAATCAATGAATCAATTAAAAACCCGAAATATATACCCATAAACGAGCAACTCGATTTATGTAGGTCTCCACTCTTGAATTTATAAGTTCGACAACCCCTATAATCTTCAGTGCTGAATTGAATAGTTGTAATCCTTGTTCACTTAACTACATCGCTTTTTAGCTTATCTAAAAACTCCCTATATATCCTAGTTTTCAAATTTCACATGTTAGTTTTATATTTGATAATGGGGTAAAACCCGAAACCAGTCGTAAACATAAAATAACAAGTGGACATTAGTCAAAAGTGTTTTTATTCATTTCATTGAAGCGCCATATTTTGCTAACGCAAATTCATTTTTGCACACATCAGCGTAGTTGTGCTGTAAATCAGTTTCCTATTTCATAATTTTGATGTGTGTTTCGACGAAGTAGTAGATATAATTTGTCATGAAATATATCTCAGACCATGCAAATTACATTCTGTCATGTGTACTACTCATACCGATTGAAGTAGAAATAGTATACTTTCACAACTCATTTTTAAACAATGACAGTCCGAACTTTCAACATTTGTTTTTGTATCAGATACAGATTCTATATTAAATGAAAACTCAAAGAAAATATGAAAATTAATGATACAGGTCAGCGGTTGAAAAATAGAAAAAAAAAAGTATAGATAAGAATGGAAGTAACTACATCAACACGCCAGGTCCAGCATGCAGGAATTCACCAATGCAGTGGTATGCCTGTCAAATTATTGCAAGATGATTCTAATGCATTGAACATCATATAATAATGATGGTAATTTTTCGGGATGAACTTTTNCAATTTTGTAAGAGGCTATGATTTCCTTAACTTTTTTGCAGACGATACTTTAGTAGCATGTTATGGTATTGACCTAGGTTAAACAGTAACGAGATTAAACCATGTTTCAAATTCATTCGAATCATTTTTGAAAACTAATAAGATGAAATTAAATTCAAAGAAAACAAAAAAAAATACAAAATACAAAACTATCAATATTTACACATAAAAATAGAAGATGAAAATCTGGAATGGGTTAAGGGTCAGAGCGATTACATCTGTGAAAAAATATCAAAAAAGCTATTCGTTCTATCCATAGTATCCCATAACATGTCCCTCTTTTCGAAAATTACCACTTATAGGACGATAATACAACCCCACTTCGACTATTGTGCTTGCTTACTGTACCTGTTGGACAGAAACTGTTTAATGACTTTACAAAAACTTCAAAATAGGGGTATGAGAATCATTCTGCAATGGAATAAATATGTTCCAATTGATCTGATGTTAAGAACTTTGAACTGGTATAACGTAAATAAACGCCTGTTTTTCATGACAATGGGGTCCATTTATCAAATAACAAAAAAGTTAGTCCTAAGTTATCTTAGTTCATCAATTATATATAATAATGAGATCCACACTTATCCTACAAGAAACGTGAACAATTTCCATATAGCTCGAACTCGAAATGTAAGCTCAAAGAAAACATTATTCTTCAAGGGCTTGAATGATTTCAATAACCTCTCAAATGAAGTGAAAAATTCACCGTCTTCAAACACTTTCAAAAATTCTTCTAAATGAATTCATTGTGGTGAAATGAAATCATGTATATGTACATGTAAAAAGATGAATTATGGAAGGTATGTGTGTGAGTGGGTTGTGTTGCTCATATATACTGAGTGTAACATGTGTATATTTCAATATATGATGATTGTGACACTATAGGTGTATTTTTATATTTTAGCATTCTTTGTTTAGCATTAAGTATATAGTTCAACGAATTCAAATTTTATAATTGGTGTAGATCCTCACACCAAAGGATTCAAACAATTGTTCAGTTTAAAGAAAACATCAAACTGAAATACAACAAATCTTGAACTTGGCACACCCAAAGCTAATCTGAATTTACAAACTAGTACACGATACCATTTTAGATGTGCATAGTGAAAAATAACCCGTCTCATTCCTTGTGATCCCCGGAATGCCCTAGATCAGCATGGTATTCCATTTTGATTTCAGAAACAAATTGATTTATTACACATTACAAAAATGAATAGATATTTGCAGAATTATCTTTTGTAAATATATTTTGCTGTGCCAACTTGCTACAATTTGGAAGCTTCGAGAAAACCCCAGAGAGGGTTCTGAATTCATTTGAAAATTCATTTGTATTTGGAAAGGATTTAAGTATGGCTCCTATCCCATTTACGTGTTGTATTGAAGTACTTTTTGGATCAATGGTTTTGTTAGAACCTTGAGTCTCAATATTCATTCATGTCCTGTGAAAGTTTTTTTCCTGTTTCATAATCATTCTTTATCTGTTTTATTCGGCCCCATGTTTGAGTTGATATGTTTTTCAATAAAATAAGAAATCCACAATAGGTTCCAGGAACTCTTTACTGACAAATGATGCTAAATTCACGATGAAAGAAAAATAGATGTGAACACCTTGTATCTGAAAGGAGATGATCGAATGCCAAATTGAACTAAATCATTTTATTCAGAGTTCATTGACTCTAGATACAATATCTCGAACAAATGTTAGCAATTCTTGTGGAAATAACGATTTCCAAAACTCGAATCAGTCGGCAAAACTACGAGAGAAAAACAAGTAAAGCAAAATAGTTCAACAAATCTTAAATTATGTCGTAAAATTCATGGCTTTCGAATATCTAATTGTCTAAACAACAAAGACTTTGAATAATTATTCAGTTTCAAGAATACATTATATTGATTTTCAGTGCATCAGTGCAATAAAATAATGAGTACCGCTAAGAACATAAGCAGAATCAATTGTTTCGGCACAATGGCATTCGATAATATCATTACTCTGAAGACGCCAACTTGGTTGGTGAAAATAGGAGATCGAGAGGAGTATTGCATTTCTAGTGATTGGGAAAAGAGGTTGATTTGGACCAATTCGGTATACTTCTGAAAATACTCTATGTAGTATTACAAACCCTTTGAATAAGAACAAACTATCTGTATAGCCCCTCAGATTGAATACAGTTCGAATCCCTGGTGAAATACGTCTGATTTTCTCATCAGAATTTATTTTATCTGTGAAAACTTATTCAAGTTCTTGAAAATCTCTTGCGGAGAAATTCGAAAACATTGAGAAATTATTTCTTAGAAGCCAATTTTGTGTTGGAGACTTGCTAGTTTTATTGATTCATTTTTATATATTACAATATTTTACAATGTCAATAACTTGATATGAAATGGTGAAACTGGAACCTCTGTCGTAAAATACATAAAACAATTACTTCTCCCAAACACCACAATGCGCGTTTCACCAACCAAGTGTGCCTCTTCAGGAGAACCTTTCAGGAGTGTTAAACTAGCATCAATATTATTTAAAAATATTTCAGAAAAGCAAGAAATTCCATTGAGGTAAAACTGTCGAAACGCTTTGATCTGACTTTAAAAGTAAAGGCAATAAATTGCATTGGATAAAAACCGGGAAAATTATTTTCAGTACCTATGCTGAACCAGAATTAACCTCTAATGATATTTCAATACATTTTGATTTGAATAACTATTCATTTAGCATGCGATGCGAGTATTGGTGCTGTACTTTTACATGTTATGGCATATGGTTCCGAAACAACTATTTGATACATTCCTAAAGTGTTAACTGAAGCTTAACGGGAATATTGAATGATACTTGAACAGACTTTGGCAGTGTACTCGTCTATTTCTAAACTGTATCAATATATAGCTGTGGAGAATTTCATATTCTTAGTGCTTTCCATGATAATAATTAAGCAATTTTCACAAATTTCGCTAACACCGTGGCTTCATCGGTAGTAATAGTATACACACTCATTTCATTAGTTCGGACTTCCACTGCCTAATGTGATATAAATTGATTTGAAATCAGTTAAAGAATCTGTAAAAAATTAAAAAGAATAGCTGCAATTAAAAGATTCCAAACCAATTCAATTCACGACGTTTCGATTGTTAGTATCCACAATCGTCTTCGGGTGATAACTGGACTTATTTCTCAGAGATCTGACATTTATAGATCACTCGGGTGCTTTCACCTATCTCTCTTCCCTCTCTCCGCTTTATGGGTTTTATAGGAAGCTGACCGTTTGGCGGGAGTTGGTTGTATTCCGCTTGATTTGGGGTTTCCATATGTTGCGTATCTTTACGCTAGCTTGGATAAATGCGCAAAGCCGCATATATGTTGTCCAACAACGCATTTAGCCAAGCTATCGTAGAGATACGCAACATATGAAAACCCCTAATCAAGCGGAACACGACCAACTCCCGCCAAACGATCAGCTT